GTGTAGAGACTTCATCTAACTGTATATAAAACAAATTGTAGTTGTGTGTTTACCCTTTTAGCAAATTGATTTCATGCTTAGACTACATATATACCAAAGCACGTGTGTTAAAGGTAGTTACATAATAGATTAAGATAAAGAGTTTAGCCTGTGTAGTAATTGTTATGTTAGTATAAAGGATAAGTATTCCCCCTTCAAGAGCTAGTGTAAGCATCTTTGGAAGTTCATTTAACAATTGAAGTTTTATCTGTGAGTTTGCAAGTATGGTGTCATTTACATGGAACAAACTGCTTATGGTAATTGTGATGTGTATAGTCCTGACCAACTGTCTGCTAACTGACATCCAAAAGTGACAGAACATATGGGTCACTCTAGCACACTGAACTGGCCAAAGGTCAATGTGTCTAAGCCTAGCCACCCCTAAAGACCTTTTCGCACCTGTCTCATAGGCATCCCTGAATGGGATCCTCCAGCATTTAAAGGTTTAATTAGTAATGAGACTCGACTGAATCGATTAGCAATGTGCGACTGCACTCTTGCAACAACTTGGCTCTTGCAACTATTGGCTTCACATTAAGACAACTTGAAGTCTGTTGGCAAGCAAAAATTAGCAAAGTTCTCAATGTTACAACCCTCAGAAGAATTAGATTTGTTAAGTTCCACCAATACCTCAGGTGGATGGATAATGTTTGAACCCCCGACAAAAAGTCATTCTAACAAAGTAATGCGGCACTGAGCTGCAGTTAACCCTATAGCTGATCTCGTTACTACCATTGAAAGTAAAGCCTTTATTCACGGTAGCAAAGTGAAAAACATCAAACACTCAAAGCAAAGCCTGAATGAATTAAAGCTTAGCAACTCTAAAAAGGCTCGCTTGCTAGACTAAGGAAGGATTGAACTTAACATCCACAATGTTAAGTGAACTTTCAGCTGACGTGAGTAGTGTACATCATGCAGCATTACAAAATCAAGCTGCAATTGACTTTTTGCTCTTAGCACAAGGACATGGTTGTGAGGAGTTTGAAGGCATGTGCTGCTTGGATCTTACTGATCATTCAGCTTCCATCCATAAGCAACTACAACAGCTACAGGATGGGTTACATGCCCTGAAAGAAGATAGTGACACCATTGGAAGTTGGTTCGCCAGCTGGGGCATCACTGGATGGTTGAGGTCTCTTGTGCTAGAAGGGGGGCGGACTTTACTTATAATGTTAATCAGGATGACAGTCTAAGTTGTATGTTATCTTATCCAAAGCCTGGTTTGTGCAAAAAGAGAAAGGGGGAATTGT